TTTCTAATCAATCTGGAATAATTTTGACGATCATTGAACGAACATCTAGTTTTAGTTGTGATGCACTGTTTGGAACCTTTGGTGTAGTACTGAATATTACTGTAGTATTCATCTAGTTTTAGTAACAAGCCTAGCAGTTTATGCAACCAACGGAACAAAAAGAAAAAAACTGAATTCTATCTGAGAAATTATGACAAAAACTAATATATGTTCTGTATATATTTTCAATTTTTATACACTATGTAAAAATTAGGACCATTGAAGCGATAGAGGTTTTTCATAAAAATGTAGGTTGCCAACTTAGTCGAATCTCTCCTAGAATGTGAATAAATTTTGTTGGCAAATATTTTTTTACTACTTCGAGCCAGTTGTAAAATTTGGAAGTCTCATGATTTGCGGGATAGAAAAGTGACATTTTCAGATCATCATTGGAGTGGTGAAATAGCATTTTTTTTCTATCCTTTTTTACTGCAGAAAATAGCTATTTATGTACTAGCAGGCGGTATATTCAGTATCGTTACACTATTCACGCCGAGCTATAAACACCTATGCGTTATGCCCTTGATAAATAACGGTGTAAAAAGTGAGAGTTTTAAACGCGAGCGTTGCTCAAACACTTGTCATCAGCCTTTTTATAGTGGTACTAAGATGTCGGTTGTAGCTAGGGTTTGTTTACAAACAGGTATTGTTTTCACATGGTTATTCAAATGTAATAAAATAACCATGACGATATAAACTTTTGACAAAGATAATGAATTCTGAATAAATTATATAGAAACAAAATTGTACTGAATAACCGAGCTCGTAGAAATAATTTTGACTGGTGCATGAAAATAATTACTTTTCATATTATTGATGTTGTAAGGTCATGTTTTTCATATCAAAATCACAAGTGAAAAACATATTTTAGTCGTCAGTATCAAAAACAAAGTTACTGTGGGAACTTGGTTACGAGTATCAGTTGAAACCCTCTTAAATCTGAACCAAATTTATTATTTGAATTTTGGAGCATATTCTTCTTAGTTGTTGACTGGACAATTTCAATAGCATCAAAAGGTCAATCAAGTATTTCGACTCAACAATCAGTATATAAGTATTATTTTAAAACATCCAATTTCACAAAATTTTAAAAAGGAACTAAGACAACTCATAAATAACAAATGAATAAATATCTTTATTTTCCTATAGACTACTGAAGTATTAGGAAGAGTGCCAAATTACAAAAGAGTATTATTCACTAGTATATACAACAGTAAACAAAAGAAGCTAAAAATCAATGATCTACACATGTCCAACACTTTGCTGAATTCTATCATGTAGATATAAAAAGGAATATTGTTAGAAATGAATTACTCATATTCTAAGGACTCCTTAGAAATTACATAAAGAGTACCCGGGTATACTGGGTGATACTAATACTTCTCGTTAAAAAAAGTGGCTGTATTTGTTAGTTGACAAATCATCAACATCTTTTAAGAAATCTTGGTCGTCGGAGGAATTGAGTATTTTCAAAAGTTGGAAAGTCTTCATTGACAAATTAAACAGTGAAGGTAAACAATAAACATTCCGTGTGACTCCTTATGAAACCAATTCTCTTAAGGTACACATTCCCCAACCATCAGTTTCAATTTGTTTTAACGATCCGTCATGAGAACTTGTCTAGTATAAGACGGCAGAAATCTTAGCCTGACGAATGCAGGAAGTCGCTGTCTTTGGTTCACTTCGTCTTTTCAGAATCCGCAATTTCCGAGACCAAATACCATTTTAAAGAATGGCACCGCCGCGCCCTTCGTATGTGTCTGAGCTTCATGGCGAAGGTTTGACTGGTACTTGTCTAAAGGAAAACCATAATAATCACAGTTAATAGCAAAATAATGATAATTTAGTGAACATTGGTATGATTTTTTTCTAGAAGCACCACAGTGTAATGCATGTGTAAGTAAGTGTGAGGAATGTGTAAGTTCAAAAAAACTGTATTGTAAAAAGGGAACATACATTTTTTTCTCAGTTGGCATCTAAAAATTTCATAACATTTGTTTACACCTTATGTGAATTACACGGCCTTACTTGTACATACTATACAAATTGAGTGCCATTGTCAAAGAATATATCATTGCCAGATTTAATTTTATTTATGTATTCAGATATAAGCCAAGTTAAAATGCAATAGTCTGAAACTATTTGTTGGACAAATCTCTTTTGTTGTTGAGATATAAGTAATAACAACGAGACCAGCAGATTTATTCACATCAAAGTTATACATAGAAAAATGAGTAACACTGGTCTCTACAAAAATCTATATTTCTCAAGAATTCAGGCATATATCAAATTAAGGTATTCACAGACAGGGCCGTAGCGAAAAAAAAACCAGGGGGGAAGGGAATTCAAATTTTCCCAACCCCACCAGCAAAATTTCCCAACTTTCAAAAAAATGAAAGCTGATGGATTAGTTACTACTATTATATATTAATTTTCTTACTTAGCTATCCAAAGATTGGCTGAATGCTTATGCCCGTTAGGGTATGCACAAACAAAAATAAATTTTGGTAATTATAAAAATAATAATTGGAATTATTCTTCTTTGGATCAAGGTCCTTGGTCTTCCACCATGTATAGGGAATATTCAATACAAATGAAAGGAAACAACAATTGAATTATATTGAACTTATTGTTTTCTACTATTATTTTTTCTATCTTCACGACCCGAAATTTCCCAACTTTTCCAAGTCGAAATAACAGCGAAAAGTTGAGAATTTCGTAAAATTGTCACTTGAAAATTTGTGGACTGTTCAGGACAGTTCTCTTACTTGGGAGAAACAAACCTTTTTTTGAAGTATTCAAACAACTCAGAATTTCAAAGTATGGGATCTCCAAGTTATGCATGTTAGGAAATCACGACCTTCACCTGGTTCATTTCCTTTTCTAATTACCTTTTCCTTTCTTTTCTCTCATTTTTATTTTTTAAATTTTTATTCATTTTTTACTATTATTTTTTTCAATCTTCACGGCCCAACTTTTTCCCAATTCAAAAAAGCAGGAGGGGAGCCCCCCCTCCCCAAGGTGACGGCCCTATTTACAGATGATCTCTTGTAGGTCGATGTGAAGCTAGGCTGATAAGCTCTCCCTTGAACATCGCTTTGCACAGGTACTGGTAGTGAATGTGAGAATAATTATCAAATGGAGCACTGAAAGCTTTCTACGTTGAGTTAGTTGCTCCATATGTAATGATAAAAGAAACTTGCAACATAAAAAACGGATGAATCAATTCCTTATCCTAAGAGGATTATTAATCTGCTCAATTCAAACTTCATAATATATCTATAGTCTCAATAGATTTGCACTATTACCTGGAATTTGAGTCAGTATCTTCTCGAATTGGTTAGCTTTTGGCTCTGCTGCAATTAGAAAATCCCACTTGACGGCTTTGTGATGATTGACATTCACTTTTCTGTGTTGAACTTTTTAATAAAACATGCTTCCTATTTTCATTCAGCAATAGATAGAATCTAAAAAAAGTAGAGCATTGTATTATTTAATAGATGTCTATTGTAAACAGATTAATTAAATTTCTGATAGATATGTTGTGGAACAAAAGCATATGATACAAACAGAAGCATATCATACTACCTATACAATAGCTTCCTTAAGCATAAACTATGCTTCCTATTTTCATTCAGCAATAGATGGAATCTAAATAAAAATACAGCATTGTATTATTTAATAGATGTGTATTGTAAACGGATTAATTAAATTTCTGATAGATATGTTGTGGAACAGAAGCATATGATACATACAGAAGCATATTACTATTCAATAGCTTCCTCAAGCATAAACTATGCTTGTATAGCGAAACACGTGTCGCGGTTTTTGTAAAACCCTTTTATAGTGAAAATCATACAATAAACTGTATTGATTAGTTTTTTTTTTCAAAATACGTTATGATACTTTACGTTATGATGTTTTATATTGTGATGAAGTACGTTATGATGCGGTTTCTACCGATTACGAATGTGATCGTTTGATATTATGATGCATTAGCGTTATGATGGAGTACGTTATGATGAAGTATATTATGATGGATTACCTTACGAAACTGTATATTATGCCGCTGTACGTTTCTATCTTGTACTATATGATCAATTGCGATTTCTATCTTTTGACGTTATGATGGAGTAAATTTCTGTGTATTACGATTTCTATCTTGGTACATTATGATGCATTTGGTGTCTGTCCCCTTGTGAAGGGATGTAATACTGCATACCATTAACAGGGCATATTGTGGACATTCTTATCAATTCATGTAAATTTAAATCAAAGTTCCAACATGAAAATTCAAGTGGAACTCTGGTGTATCTGAAACGATGCTTATGACGGAACTACAATATAAACTGAATTATGTAGAATGTAAAATATGTTGTGATCAAATACATTTCCATCATTGCTTCTTGGACACCCTTAGTATTTTCAAATCAATGCATGAAATTAATTCTTTCCTGATGTGATTTTCCGATTTTATATCATGATCTAAAAAAGTAAGTTGAGTCTGAATTTTTTATAAAAATTAGAACTTTTCCTTTGAAATATCAACAAACTATAAGTTTTTGTGTAGTATGACTTGACAAATATTTATGAATAATTCTAATGGAATATAAAGTTTCAGATACGTTTTTTTGGCTTCAGAATTTGCATAATTGAAACTCATCTAAGACATTCAAAAATATTTTTTTAGAAAAAGATATGTAGAGAAAGTTCAGAATTACATAGTGAAATGTCAGTGACATTCACGATATGCATTATATATTTTTTATTTCTTATTCCAACATTTGTTACATCTTTCAAGTATTGTAATAACTTTTGAAGATGCCTTAAAATGCTTAGCAGTGTTTTAATACAAATTAATCACATTTATTCATTTGTGGCGTCAACATACACAGGTTTAGTGTAAATGAAAAATTTGTTTTAGTTTAGTGAACAACTTATTATTGTAATTATGTTTATAGAATGGAAGAAGTGGTGATCATCCTCGACAAAGTGTATTACCGGACCTCCTAAGTCAGGCCAGTGGTAGTCCTGGTACACCATCTACTCGCGATAAATCCACTAGTGAAGAGGTATGTAAGTTTTTGTAGTATTCAAACTTCCATAGGCGAAAATTAAAGTTTATGACTGCTTTCCTTCCTTGTTTTGTTACAATATGTTTATTAATATATATAATATA